AAGAACAGAACCAAAACTTTCGTTTTTTTTTTTTTTCTGAGTTTAGCATCGAAGCATTGCAGCTTCATTCATGTCCCTTAAGAACACTGTTGACTTATGTTTAGCTTAGATACACTGATTAATTTCATCGGGTTGATTGACAGGTATAACTGGGTTGATCATCTGCATAAACAGTGAATAGTTAATTGGAGAGTTATTCAAAAAAATAAAAGATAAAACTAATAATGTTGCCTAAAGGGAATAGCATATATAAAGTAATAGAATTGGTTCCAAATGTAGCAGAACCTTGTGGACTTCCATGACCAACTTTAGTATTTATGGAGGACTTCATCATGCTAACATGTACACGTAGTGTAAAAAGCGCTTTGAGTGGTCGGAAGACTAGAAAGGCGCTATACAAGTACAGGTCCATTTACCATTTAATATGTCATCAAGGTCATCAAAGTTTTCCTTGCTGTGTTTTGCACTGGCAAAATACTTGCAATGCTTACTCACTGTGCCAGTCTAGCTTTTCACAGTATGGCTTGCTACAATCCCCTCAGTGAAAGTTGAAAGTGCTTTGATAAAAAAAAAAACTCAAGATGTTGAAAGTGCTTGGATTTAGCCAGACACTCATGCGCTGTGTCATTTCAAAATTCACCTATGATAAAAATTTTAAACATCTGGAGCACTGGGCCAAGCTTGATCTGCTTTCTTCCTATCTGTTAGTCTCTGCATAGGCCGCAAGCATACAGTGTTTTGCTCTTTGCTGTTCTGTGTGGTAAAAACAAACAAAAAATTCTTGTATTTGTATTTCATCCTGATGTAATAAAAGGACCTCCCCCCGATTCTACTGCCAACTATTTAAGGTAAACCATTCAAGTGTGTGCTGTGAAGGGTGATTGATATATGTGAACATGTAGGTGAGTTATTGGTCCTATAATTTGTCCTTGAAACGTGTTTGAAAAGTCCTTGAAATGTATCATTACAAAAGAGTGGCATCCCTGCCCCCCCACAATGCAAAACTCCTATGTGGGTGAAAACATCTTTTCTAGAGAACTAGAAGTTGCCACCTAGAAGTTGGATACTAGTGTGCTGTTGTTCAGTTCAGTTTTGAGCAGTTCTATTATCTCTCTTATCTTCTGCTCTCAGGAGTCTCCCAGAAAGCGGGTCGTGGGGTGTGATGAGGGCCCTGGGCGTCTTCCAGAGGTCAAAGCCATCCAGCAGACCAGGAGGCTACTAGCCAACGCCCGAGAGAGGACCCGTGTCCACACCATCAGTGCTGCGTTTGAGGCCCTAAGAAAGCAGGTCATACTCACTGTCCACACTGAAAACACATAAACAACAGTGTATAACAGCATGTGTAAGCTCAAGCACATACAATCTGTACACAGAATCACATACAAGGTGTTTTTGGTAACAATATATGTGTAGATGATGGTCTCAATGTGCAGAGATCCGAGTTTGTCATTTGAAGCACTGTATAATCACACCACAACCAGTGCAGCAGTGTGGACCAGTGCAAAAGAGAGATTATGTTAAGATCAGATTTAAAACGTAACTGTTGTGTTATGATTGCACCATTTTATCTGTGAACAATAGGCTGCTGAATTACAGAAGCTAGTGAACCAGGCTATGGAGAAAAATATATGAGATACAGTCAGTCAGGCTCAGGGTTGGGATAAGGCTGGAATTTGTGTAGCTCTTAATTTTCATTTAGCAGTCTTGCTTAAGAAGGCAAAACGCCTTATGAATCTCCCATAAAGCTCCACTGTGATCCACAACTGACAGAACCATGAAGGAACCATGTGAAGAGTGTAAACAGAGAACTGGGCATGTTCATTAACTTCTGACACTGAGCTACTGTTGAAGAATATACACTTGTACTGTATACATGCGTTTGTATGTATATCTCCCCTGGAATAAGATGCCCCGAAAAAAATTAAATGTGCTTTTTTGTGGATTTTCTACAGGTCTCCTAGTGTCCTTCTCTTTGTTTCCATTCTAATTAATTGACAATGTGCCAATCAAACATGTAAAAAACATTATCTGCCCATCTGCCTCCATTTCCTCCTCTCTCCAGGTGCCATGCTATTCCTATGGGCAGAAGCTATCCAAGCTGGCGATTCTACGTATAGCCTGTAACTACATCCTGTCTCTAGCTCAGTTGGCTGAGCTGGACTACAGTTCAGACCACAGCAGTTTGAGCTTCTCTCAGTGTGTGGAACAGTGCACCAGGACCCTGCAGGCCGAGGGCAGGAGCAAGAAGAGGAAGGTGAGGCTGCGCTCTTTCATTATTCTAAAATAGTGGCTACAAAAAGCAGTGAACAAGGCCTTTATTTCTCATTTCATCTGCTTTATAATTATATATTGATTATATTTTAGTAAGAAGCCTCCTTGTTGATAGGCTCCCTTTCCCACTATAACCAGTCCACTCAA